AGATGGGACACCCGCCGTCTACCAGGGCCTCCTGGGCTGCCTTCAGGGTCTCCCGCTTCACACACTTCCAGTAGCCAGAGATGCCATTTTGAGGCTGCACCTGAGGGCAAGACACTGTGCATCACACCAACGGTACTGGGAGACGAGCATTAGCATGCAGCCTAGGAGTGATATGTAAAATATCTATTGCTAATAAACAATTTGTATTTTTGCCATGATTAAAGTCAAATGATGACAGTACATGTAATCCCAGGGACCCCAATTAGGATGTAAATACACGACACGTTGAGCAGTGTGCCCACTACTTTAACTCGCTTTGGTTAGCTAATTAAGGGGTGGATGTAGCTCAGGAGATAGAGAAGGTCCTCTACTGATCGGGAGGCTGGAGGTTCGATCCCTGGCTCCCCCAATCTGTGTCAAATATCCTTGGGCATCCATCAGTGTGTGAATGGTAGTTAGTAAGCACTTAAAAGCATAGAAGACAGTGCTTGTGTAAATGTGACATGTTGTATAGAGTGCTATTCATTATAAGAATCAGTTTATTTAAGGGAAATAAATACAACTCTTAGTTAATGCTAAAAATAAAAGTTGACCGAGGCTGGCCAGAAGAGCTGGAATGCTCCACCGTCTCCTCGGCTGTCTGTGCAACAGTGAAGCCAGAATATTTTGAAAGCAGATCCTGCAGTTAATGGACTTAAGCACCATTTCACACGATGCTTTATTCAGTAGATTTATGGCCAGCTCAATAAAAGTAAAAAAATAATTAATGATGATCCTTAAAACAGCAACAGAAAATGAAGCTTACTAACTGAATTTTACAGAAGCCTGAACGTAATCTGATCAGTAACATAGCTCATCATCTGGATTCAGGAAGCTTGTAAATCTACGTTTTTCATGCGAAGCAGCAACTGGACGAGAATCAGATTTTCTTACAGTTACAGTTACAGACGTTCAGAGTTCGACAGTGGAGTTAACAGACTGCTGCTGAAAATTCAAAACATTTTAGCAGGTTATGCTTCTAATGAACGTTTGCAGATGTATGCCACTATTGTTTTAGTTGATCGTTTCCAGGAATGGTCGGATGATTTGTCCCTATAAATTCTGGGGCGGCAAGTAAGCACTGAAGCTCCTTGGTTAGTATTCAGAGAATTCAAACACTTCTTCTTATGGCTGCACAGATACGTCAGCGTCACTTCACTCCTTAAACAAAAGTCCAGTCTAATATGTTCATGTGCCCTTTTTAAATAAACTTGTGTAAGTAAGTAGTTCTTTTAAACGTAGTGATAGACAACGTTGCACATGGATGACACGAGTTAACGATGTGCATTAGTGTTTGTGTACTTCAGTGTGATCTACACTACAGTTAGAGGAGTGTCTTATATCTGTACCCACACATCAGGCTTTTACAGTTTTATATTTAACACATGGAGGTGAGAGAGGCATTCACTTCACTTAAACATGGTGACAAAGTAGAAAAGTCAGTGAAGATGGAGAGAGTACCTTTAGACCCCGCAGTACTCGGTCATTCATCACACCAAGGAACTCCTTGTGGCTCAGGCAGTTGTCTCCATCTATGTCAAAAAGCTTAAACACGGTGTCCAGCACGTTCTCGGACAGTTCGTGGCCTGTGGCGATCGTCACAGCTCGCTCGAACTGGGCTGTAGGGAGAAGAAAAAAAAAAAAATCTATGCCTGGAAGATTGGAAGAAAACTACAGACTGATCTAACCGACAGAAACCGTACCCATGCCCACAGGACGGTTGGCTTCTGTGACCATTTTCATTGAGAAGGCAAAATCCTCCAGGTTGTTGGTGAACAGGCAGAAGGCTTTGAACTCATCGAATGAGATACTCTAGAAAAGAAAACATGACAGCTGACTTTTAGGCCACAACAAATCCTATTCTGACGGCACCGAGTGGAGGAAGAGTGCTTGTACCTGACCCGCAGGTATCTTCTTCCTCATGTTTTCCCAGTAGACTTCATTGTCTTCTTCGTTGGTGTAGTGTAGCAGCCATTCTGCAAAGTCTTCCCTCCGCATGGT